CGACGATAGAACAAAGATAGTAAACCTATCTTCAATCCCTCTTGATTCTGAAACTACGGATCTCTTAGAGTAGTTACATTTTTCACTAGGTAATGAAGAAAACATTCTTAGCGATATTATGGTCGAAGTTGTCAACATAACGGATAGCGGGAGATGGAAATAAATAATCCCAAGGATCCTGACACACCAAGAACCGATACACAGGAGCAGATTGGCTGCTATTCGGAAAAATGATCAAATAGTTCTTCAGGTGGATAAGGGGGGGGGCGACGGTTGTAATGGACAAAAAACAATACACGGAGAAAATGGAAAGTAGCCTTAGCGACCGGAATACTTATCAAATATTAAGGAATGATGCAACCACGAAGAAAAACGGCACAGTGAAGAATATGCTCAAGGAAATGCATAATAATGGAGAAATAGACAAATGGAGAATGAAATCTTTAATGAAAATGATCCAAGGCCACCGACAGCCTACGGACTACCGAAGATACACAAGGAAATCCGCTAAGACTAATAGTCAATAACAAGCATGGCGCTACACAAACTAGCGAAATTCATTTGCTTGAAACTCAAGAAACTAAATGACAGACTCTCGAATACCGTCAAGAATTCATATGAATTTTCTCAAAGGATCCAGAATATTGGGTTGGTGCGGTCAATACTGTTGGTGAGTTTCGATATACAATCCATGTACACAAACATCTCAGGCGAGAAGGCGGTAAGCACCTTGCTGGAGATTTTAGAGCGAGAAGAGTTTATCCTAGAGGCAGAACGGATACGGAAAGAATCGTTGAAACGATTGATCAACCTGACAGTAAGGACAACATATTTTACATTTACGGCAGTATCTAGGACCAAAATTTGGACTACCGATGGGATCTCCACTGTCACCTCTTTTGGCAAATGTGTACATGGACAAGTTGGAAAGGAAATGCGAGAAGTCACCACTGCGACCAAGAGTGCTCATTCGATATTTGGATGACTATTTTGCACTTTGGTCACATGTTCACGAAAATCTAAATGAATTCCTCAATTTTATTAACCAACTTGACGAAAGAATTAAATTTACAATGGAGGTGGAGGAGGATGAACGACTACCCTTTCTAGATGTTGAAATCATACGCTCCAAGGGGACTTTAATGAGGAGACTATACAGAAAGTATTCACATGCGGGAATAATTCTTAATTTTCAGTCCCATCATAACTGCAGACTGAAGATCGGAAAAA